GTTAGTGCGGCCTCTCCGCACTAACGACTTGCTCGGGATGGGACACTGTCACTGACTTCAAACTTCAGAAGACGCACGGATCAATGTAGCCCGTTAATTATACGTGCACCAAACTCAATGGTGCGGTGGAACTGTACATGAATACTGCCAACTGTCCACAATGCCGATATCCGGCTCGAAGGACCATGTACAGGAACCCAAAAAGCCCCGGGACCCTTGACAATAAATGATACAAAAAAGGTCGGGTGGATGAGTCGTTTAATTAGCGTTAAGCGCAATCACAACAAAACAGTAAAATCAAACGCTAGCGTGCACTTAAATAGCGCAGCGCCATCTAGTTATTTTACAACGAAACTTATATTTTTATCAATATTGTACTTTTTATTTGCTCGTGAACACTATATATTATGCAAAGACAAATTATTCTTTTTAACAAACAAAACAAAATACAAAGAGTTAACTAAAAAGTAAAAACAACAATGACAATAAACTAATTAAACTGATTTATAAACACGGCTAAACACTCACGTATATACGTCCGGTGGCGGCACCGACTAGTTCGGTGAGCGACGGGCCGCGTCCGCGAAATAATACCAGTACCACTCATTCTGATGAAGGGCCCCCGATGGGCTCGAAACTAGTCGGTGCCGTCACCGGACAAATATACGTGAGTGTTTAGCCATGTTTATATATCAGATTAGTGTAATGTCTCACGAAAGTTTGAATAATTTAATAAACTATTATTATTATTAATTACTAAATTAAAAAGTTAGAGTGAGCCGAAATTATATAAAATAACAGAAAAACACATTTGTGTAATTTGTAAAAAAGCAAACTTAAATCCGTTGCCAGTCGTGCGTCAGGCGCCAATGGACTCGTACATTAATACTATTTTTAAGTACAACTTAATAAAACAGTTTGTAGAAATCAATGAAATGCAAAGAGATCTCTTGTTTATTATAAACTAGATATAATATTTTATATGTGACATTTAAATGTGTAATAAATTGAATTTAAAGCATTATATTATTTTTATTTTTTAACATTGCTAAATAATTTTGTAAAAGTGTGTATTTTTTTAGGAGTCATCCAAATAACAAACTCATCTTTAATATTGAAAGACGAAGATGGATCGGATATTAAATTATCCATTCTTAAGATGCCTATATCCATTGATAATTTGGTTATTGAGAATGAAGAAATGGATACATCCATAGATGAAAGTAAAAAAATTATTAAAATTCAAACGCCTAAAAAAATCGATCCGCAATTAAACTTATCTGAAGAGTCAACATTAATATTTTTAAAGGAGCCAATATCTATAGATGAAATTGGTAATGGAACTAGATTGTCATTCAGAGATCAAACGCTTAAGACTGTGACTACATTAAATGTATCACGAAGAAAAAGAAATGATAAATCTCTGATATGGATACGAAACGCATTAACAATATTTGAATTTTCATATGTTTATCCTTTTATATATGCACGTAATAAATATAAATGTTATACATGCTCAAAAGAGTTTGTAGATTCACAAATACTAAGAGAACATTCATTAAATACGCATAATATTGAAGAATTAAGACTGGAGTTGAATAAAAAGTCCCAAGATAATAATTTAAAAGTAGATATCTTTCAAATTAAATGTAAACTATGTCAAACTACACTTAAAAACCTAAATGATTTGAAATTTCATCTTAAAGATCATGGTAAAGATATAGATCCATCCTACCAAGATAATATTATCCCTTTCAAATTGGAAGGGAATACGTATAATTGTCAGATTTGCGGTGAAAATTACTATTTAATGCGATTACTTATTATTCATATGAGTAAACATTTTAATAACTATAGTTGTGAAATATGTGGCAATGTGTTTGTTTCTAAATTATTACTAAATAGGCATTTACAAGTTCATAAAAAAGGTAGCTATCAATGCGAAAAATGCGATAAAGTATTCGATAATTCAGCGAAAAGAATAAATCATATCAGATCGGTACATTTAAAACAACGCGTAAGAACATGTCCCCTTTGCCCTGAGAGATTTGGCTCTTATTATCAACGTAATAAACATTTGAGGATTTCCCATGATCAAACAACGAGGTACAGATGCGAGACATGTGGGGGACAATTCTATTTGAAGTACCAATTGTATTTACACAAAAGATCCGTTCATATGCAAGAACGGAATGAGGAATGCACCATTTGTCAATTCAGATTCTTCTCTAAATCCAGTTTAGCCAGGCATATGGTTACACATAGTGATAAAAGTTTTAAATGCGATGTTTGTGGGAAAGGTTATTCTAGAAGAAAGAATCTTCGAGAACACACGAAGACACATGATCTTGTCGAAGCAAGTTACGTATGCGATCGTTTGCTAAATAATCAGCCTACCTTAATGGCTGACGTGAATAAAAACGATGATGTTATATGAATACCATTTGTAAATTAAAAGATATTTTAAATAAAAATATCTAAAATGTACCTATTTTTGAATTATTTACGTAAAAATCACCTTTTAAGGGCATGTAAATAATGGCGTGGTTAGTTAGATGAATTAATCATAATTAAACTTCAGTTATTATACGAGAAAAACTTTTATCTTCCCCAGGGATAACGACAAAGCAGCATCCGGGCCCGAGGACAAGTATATGGCAAATGACAATATCAGAAAGACAAAATGCGGCAACGTTCCTTGAATTCACTACGGTGAAGCCGTTCTTTTATCAGCAAGCGAATTTCAAATGTTTCTATTGTAATAAAATATTTCCAGAAATAAACTCTGTGTTGCAACATACTAAGTTTCATGTAGCGCCCGAGAGAAGCAATTTACTGAAACAATACCTAAGAAAAGGAAAGAGGATAATAAAAGCTGATATATCGGAATTGAAATGTAAAATTTGCGATCAAAAGTACTCAGATTTGGATGATATTAGAACGCATCTTTTAGTAACTCATAAAAAGGATTTCAACGCCGCGGGAAATGGACTAATGGCTTACAACTTAAAGATTAACAATGGACTCCTATCTTGTCACAAATGCAACAAGACTTTCAATTCATTTTTCCTTTTGAATAGACATATGAATGTTCATTTAAATGTTGTCTGTGAAACTTGTGGCCTCGGATTTATGTCTCACCAACGTCTTATAAACCATCGCATTGTTCACCAGAACGGTGTCCATAAATGCGATAGCTGTCAGGATGTGTTCCCAACAAAATTGAAGCTACGATATCATATATACAAAAAGCACGAAGTATCTAATGTAAAGAAGATTAAACCGTTAAAGTGTCCACACTGTTTGGAAAGATTTGCGGAGCACTATCGTAAGATGACACATTTAAAAGATGTCCACGGTATAACTTTTAAATTTGAATGTCAGGTATGCAAAGCGGTATTTCCAATGCGTCGTGCTTTAACGGAACATACCACCAAACTTCACACACAGAAAATACAATGTAAAGTTTGCGGAAAATGTTTCGGAACTAAATCCTTGTTGAAGATGCACGCACGCGGTCACACTGGTGAAAGGAATTTCTTCTGTGGCATCTGCCAGAAGGCGTACATGCATGAGAGGACGCTAAGACAGCATATGCGAGTCCACGGTCCAGTATGGAAGTTGACTTGTCCTGAATGTGGTAGCGGTTTCCACAACCGTAATGACTTTAATAAACATATGAAGAATTGGCATCTGTAATACCAACTTAATATCATCAAGACTGTTAATTAATGCAATTTACGCACGATCTTAGTTAGGCACGTATTATACAAAAACGGCGTAAAGACACAGGCATCTTGTAGATTCGAAACGTTTCAATACAAAACATAAGTAGGCGACTCGAAGTGGCGATACTCAAGCGGCGTGGTGGAGGCACGTCGTTTCGTTTACCATGCTACTTTGCGCCTGCGCCGCATCTTCACCGTACACCGTTTCTTTATAATTAGCGCCTTAAATATAATATATAATTTAATTATTTTATTTAATTAAAATAAAAAATGCCTTGTAACGGTTTTTACGAACACTAAAAGTATATAGCAACTATTTTTAATAGCTTTTGGTCATAATTTCTTAATTCCCATTTCCAATTCTTTCTATACTTTGTCTATAAAAAATATAAAGTGATATTTCTTCACTATTTCTAAAAATTCCTTACTGAATTATTGAGTTAAGCAAATGCATGTGTTTTTGTGATGTAGTGCCGCTTCCATATTGCTTTAAAGATACCCTGTCGTTAACTGTCAGATTGGCTAAGAACAAAATATTAAACAAAATACGTATAAATAAACTTGAAACACATCCTACAAGTTAGATGAAGACAGGATCTAATACTGACAAACACATATAAGCGATACTATAAGCATTAATATGGGATCAAATATTAAGAGATAAAGTTGAAAATTTTCACTCCCCCAGGAAACCAAACGGGAGGCAGACAAGGTGCATTTACTGGAATCTGGGAGATGACGTTGTCGGAGCGTCAGAATGCAGCCATACTATTGGAGAACACGACGATCACACCATTCGTCTACTGTCGTTATTATTTCAAATGTTTCTTTTGTCACCAGCAAAATTCTGATATCAACAAACTTCTCGAACATACTTTGACCCATGAAATGCCCGATAGAGAAACTATACTAAAAGAATTACTACCAAAAGGAAAACGCACAGTCAAAGTTGATATTTCCAATCTTAAATGCAAAATATGCGAACGAATCTTCACAGATATTAACCAAATACGTGAACATTTAATATCTGAACATAGGATTTGTTTTACATCCTCTGGTAACGGAGTCGTGGTTTACAATTTGACGCCCAAAAATGGACAATTCTCGTGTCACGTTTGCGACAAATTGTTTCAAACCTTCATTCTATTAAACCGACATTTAAATGTGCATTTTTGTAATGCGGTTTGTGAAATTTGTGGTGCTGGATTTATTACACATCAGCGTCTTTTACAACACAAAGAGATACATTCAGGTGGATATCCTTGTACCAAATGCAATAAAATTTATACAACAAATTCTAATTTGAAGTATCATATTGAGAAAAATCATCAAGGTGGCACTAAAATGCGCACTTTGCGATGTACACAGTGCTCGGAGAGATTCACAGAACACTTTAGAAAGTTGAAACATCTTAAAGAAGTTCATGGTATAACGTTTACTTTCGAATGCGAGTTTTGCAAATTAGTTTTTCCAAGTCGTAGATCTTTAACAATGCATACAAATAAATATCACTCTATAAAAACTCAATGCGAAGTCTGTAAGAAGAATTTTAGTTGTATAACAACTCTGAAGAAGCATATGGTTTCACATACAGGAGAGAGGAACTTTGGATGTAAGATTTGTGATAAATCTTACCGTCATCAGAAAAGTCTTAAGCAACATATGCAAGTTCATGATACAAAAGATAATTACACTTGTTCAGATTGTGGAAATAACTTTCCTAATAGAAACGAGTTTAACAAACATATGAAAGATTGGCATCGACGATGTTTATTAGATTACAATGTACGCTAATAAATTATTCAATATTTCGTGAGACATTATACTAAACTGATATAAAAAAAGCGACGGGCCGCGTCGCGAAATAATACTAGTACCACTCATCCTGATGAAGGGCCCCCGATGGGCTCGAAACTAGTCGGTGCCACCGGACGAATATACATCAGTGTTTAACCGTTTTTATATCAGTTTATATATGTCAATGTTTCGTGCAATTTTTCATATGAAAGTTAATACGCCAGGCAAGTCTATAGCTCTTCAACTAATTTGTACTTAATTTGCAAAACTTTTTTAATACGAGTTAATTTATACTAAGCAAGTCTAACGGTGAAGAGAGCATCGTGATGCAACGTGCACATATTTGCGAGAAAATTCAAAGATATGTGTGAAGTCAACCCGCACTGAGCCTGTGGTTGACTATAGCCTATACACCTAACTTAAAGAAGACTCCGAGCCCCTCAGCGGGAACCTACAGTGAGGTAATGATGAAGCTTGTCAAAACAGTCAAAAAGTTATTATAGAATTTAGTGTAATAAGTGAGCATTTATCAAGCAAGCAGTCTTCATTACTTCGTGATGTGATTTTAAAAAATTGATCATTCTGTGGGTATTTTAAAAACGTACTGAACAAATTGAAGAAGTAAGCTTTAGTAATTAGATGTTATGCACACATTAAGATCTTTTTGGGATAGTGTGACGAACCTAAAAGCTATTATTTTTTCGCAGGCGCTGTCCGCGCTTTGCCCACTGGAATATGGCATATGACGGTAGCAGAAAGAAAGAATGCTGCGTCGTTACTTCATTTGACAACTGCCAGACCATTCACACATATGGGCTCAACATTAAAATGTTTCTACTGCAAGAAATATTATTCTGATTTATCAGATTTACTCGAGCACACATTGACACATCCAGTAGAAGCCAAAGATACGATATTAAAGAAATATATTATGAATGGGAAACGTATGGTTTTGGTTGATATATCAATACTTAAATGTAGACTTTGCTGGAAGAGATATACAGATATAAATTCAATAAGACAACATTTAGTAATTGAACACGATAAGAAATTTTCTATAGGCGCAAATGGTTTGACTGAATATAACTTATCGATTGAAAATGGTAATCTAACTTGCCATATTTGTAAGAATACGTTCCATGAATTTGTCCATCTAAAAAGTCATATGTACACCCACACAGGTAGGGTAGTTTGCGAAGCTTGCGGTGTTAATTTTATAAATCGTTATCATTTATCGTTACATATGGATACTCATATTAAAAAGAAGTTAACATGCAAATCATGTGACAAAGAATTCTCTAAATACGGTCAGTTAAAATACCATAGAGCTATAATCCATAAAACAAAGAATAAAAGAAAGAAAACATGTGAATACTGTACCGATTCATTTAAAGAACACCACACAAAGATGCTACATTTAAAAATAGTTCACGGTATAGTAAAATCATTTCCCTGTTTGGTATGTAACACTAACTTTGATACCCGACGCGCACTGACCGAGCACACGACTAAATATCATACAGAAAAATATAAATGTGAAACATGCTCTAAGTGCTTTGAAATAGCGTCCAAATTGAGATATCACATGCGTGTACATACAAATAGCAAGGAGTTTATATGTGCTTATTGTAATAATGGGTATATGTTAAAAGCATCTTTAATAAAACACATGAAACGACTCCATAGTTTTTACTATTCCGTACCAAAGATTATGTAAAAACGAGAAGAGACAAGAAACTAGCAAAGTATTAAGTGCGATATAAATGATCTCATTCCTAAATTATTTATTATTGTATAAAAGTGTAATATTAAACATACCAAAGTAATAAAAATAGTCGAAATAAGATGTTGTTTTATTGGGGGCGTATTGCGATGAAGTTTCTTGCTTTGATGGCATAAAACGTCGATGGCATGGATAAATGTCGATATTTGTAGGAAAGTTAACTAATTTATTAACACACGACTAAGTTTATGAGAAAAACCAAACTGTTAGACTTTATTCTATAAGAATGTTGTTTGATAGTTGGCATAAATAGGGTCCTTCAAGAAGCGAGTTTATCATCATCTCAAAGGCCGGCAACGCATCTGCGGTTCCTCTGGTATTGCTGATGTCGTTGAACACCTCGGTGTTCCAGCTGCTCGTTTGCCCCATCTGCTATAAAAAAATAAAAAGATATTATTAGGAATTAACTTAATATTTATCACTTTGTCGTTTTTTTAGGGTCGCCGGCAACAGGCAGGTCCGTGGTATCAAGAAAAAAGATATTTGTTTATTCAATACCGCAACGAAACAATGCTGAGCTAATATTAAAATATTCCAGCGCGTATCCATTCAAAACAAGATACAATCAAGTGTTATGTGCTTATTGTCACAAAGAATTTGAAATTCTCTCTGAATTAAATATACATAAAGATAAACATCATTTGAATGTTGATTACAAGAATATATTATACGGTCTCAGAGGTAATTTAATAAAGGTAGACATAAGTAATTTGGAATGCAAGCTATGTAGACGAATATTCCACAATATAAACGATTTAATGGTCCATTTCTCACAAGAACACAATTTACCAGTTCACTTCAATGCCAGTTTTGGCGTTCTACCTTACAAATACGTCAATGATCATTGGGTGTGCGTCAACTGCGGAAAAACTTATACTACCTTCATAGAAATCAAACGTCACATACCTACCCACTTTATGAATTACAATTGCGAAAAATGTGGAACTACCTTCATATCTTACCAAGCGTTGAATGATCATCAGAGACAAGTTAAATGCAATAGAATAGCGTATAATCCTCGGAATGGAAGAGTATTAAGACCGAGAAGTAACGCCGAGATAATACTGCAATGTTCCTCAGCGTATCCTTTTAGAACATGGATGAGTAATTTGAACTGCATCTTCTGTAGTGTCAAAACACGTGACCCAGTCTTCTTTAGGAAACATATGGCGGCAGAACACGAAACATACGATGTTCAAACAGCATTTTATAAGAAACTGCGGAAATCTTTCCTCAATGTCGACATAACTAATTTAAAATGTAAACTGTGTTTAATAAATATTGATAAATTGGAAGAATTAATAGATCATTTAAAGAAGGATCATAATCAACCTATTAAATCTGATGCTCAATCCGGTCTACTACCGTTTAAATTGAACGATGGGTCATCATGGAATTGCGCGATATGTAACAATCAATTCAAGAACTTCGATATTTTGAGGAAGCATACTCAGAGTCACTTCAACAATTATGTCTGTGATACCTGTGGTGAAGGATTTATAACGGAATCGGCTTTAGTTGCCCATAATAAAATACCTCATGAGAATAAGTATTCCTGCTCTAGATGTGTAGCAACATTCTCTAATTTAATAGAGAGAAGCATTCATGTTAAAACTCAACATACGTCAAAACCATATGTATGTTTATACTGCGATGATAAACCAAGATTCTCATCTTGGGAGATGAAAAAGAAACATCAATTGGTAGTACATAATTATGGAAGTAATGAAAATAATTATGAATGTACGTTATGTGGGAAATCGTTTAAATCTCGGTCAGGAAAGTATAATCATATGGCGAGGGTACATCGCCATTTTCATTCAGAGTTAAGTTTTATTTGTACAACTTGTTCAAGGTCATTCACAAGTCAATTGTTTTTAGACAAACATATGGCTAAAAAACATACGATTAACGAGAAATCTCTATAAGCGAGAGTCGTACAATGACAGACTATATCCATTAGCGAGAAACTGTAGTTAGACATTTGTATAAGCAAAAAACGTGGTTCCTTAGACTCTTGTTAATCTAGTTCAAATATAATTTAATTTGAGTTAACTGTAAATAGAAATACATATCTTAGTAAGAAATGGCGCGCTTTTATTATCAAGTCAAATGTCAGAATAGTGAGGGCACATAGACGTCGACATTTTAGTTAGGCTAGTGTTGCGACACAGCGGCACAGTGTTGGATTTTCTTCCTAACAGTTAGAAGATATTTCCAGAACGGCTGCATGGATCGCGCTGAAATTTAGCATAGATGTAGAACATAGTCTAGAAGGCGCGGGCGACACTTTGAACATGTAAAAAATAAACTTTTATTAATAAAAACTGTATGCTTTATCATTACACATTCCTAAATCCATGATTTTTAGGGTTCCGTACCTCTAAAGGATAAAACAGAACCCTTACAGGATCACTTTGTTGTATGTCCGTCTGACTAGACCCTTATTTCTCTGTTGCCGGCAAACCACAATGACAAATTAGTAGGGGTTTGCGTTCAACATCATCATCAACCTGCCCTCCATACATTATCAGCCGTCATATCCGAGTCTACCGCCTTACGCATATCCTCTTTCACACAGTCATTCCATACTTTTTTGATCTTCCTCTACCTTTGTAGCCGTCCACATTTAATATTTGTCCACCATATTCAAATACGATCTGTTATAATATAAAAACTGGCTTTAAACATTGATTTAATACGTAAGATTTAGAAGTAAACACTCCTTTTGTTACAGGATGCTATAATTATTATAATATTAAAACTATGCAAGAATCAATAATTAAAGATGAATTCGAGGAAAATAATGAAAATAGAGAAGAGGAGAATAACATCGTTTCTTGTGGTACGTAAATATACAGCCCTTTTTAAGGTTACGCACCTAGAAAGGCAACGGAACCCTTATAGGGTCACTTTATCGCATGTAAAGACCCTTTTTCTTAGGAACGCGCGAAGCTGGAATTTATTTATTTATAGCTTGGAAATAATATGAACATTTGCAATCAAACTGCCAGCATTTTTTAGTAATTTCAAGGCTATTTAAGACTCTTTAGAGTCTTAACGCTCTAGAGTCTAGTGTTAAGGAATCTTACTTCTTACTAATGTTATAAATGCGAATGTTTGGATGGATGTTTGTTTGAAGATATCTCGAGAATGGTATGTATCTTGCTGAAATTTGTCATAGATGTAGAACATAGTCTAGAAGAATAGCTCCTATAATATAAAAACCACACCATTTATTGAGAACTCGTAGTCGCCCGCGACTCTGTTTTATATAAACTTAATAAGTAGCCTATGTGTTCTTCCACACTATGTTGTACGTCTATGTCAAATTTCAGCAAGATCTATAAAGCCATTCTGGGTATACCTTAAAACAAACATCCATCCAAACATTCGCATTTATAATGTTAGTAAGATTTGAAATTCATTTGTATTAGCGGTCATCAACAGCAGTTTTGTTTGGCAAAATTTTTTCAGAAGAACAGCCCGAACAACCAGAAAAGATAAGTGCCCGTAGCTACGCGACTTTGTTAAGAAAAGATACTATTAATATAATCGCCAATTCTACCGTCTGTGTGTTTCAATGGAACAAAAGTTGGTACACATGTTATTTTTGTAAAGAAAGTTTTATCAATATAGACGAATTGAGAAGACATAACGACATTCACACGTTAAAAGAATTGGACGATAGAATCATATCTCAGCAAAATAGAATGGTTAAAATTGAAATATCGCAACTATTCTGTAAAATATGCAAGAAAGAATCGACCAGTATACAAGAATTACGTAATCATTTAAAAAAACACGAAATACATTTTAATTTAAATGAAGATTTATTAATACCTTTTAAAATTAATCAAAATCTTCATTGTCAATTATGTAATGAGACATTCGACTCATTTTGGCTTCTTAATATTCATATGAATAAACATTATAAAAATCATGTATGTCCCGTATGCGGTACAACATTTTCAAACTCTGTACTTCTAACCCTTCATAAAATTAGATCGCATCGTATATGGCGTTGTATACAATGCGATGTTACCTTTAATACGAAAGCTGAAAAAAAAACTCACGATATATCTATACATAAGCAACAGATAAAAAAGAAATTACGATTCCCTTGTAAATATTGTCAAGAGCGTTTCTCACAAGAAAATAATCGCACGCAACATTTAGTTGATGCGCACGGTTTGCCCAAACCTGAACATAAATGTCAACTTTGTTTTAAAGTATTCATTACGCGTAGTTTACGAAATAATCACATCAAAAATGTACATCAAAAAGAGAAGAATAAAGAATGTGACGTCTGTCATCGACTATTCTATGCCAAATCTGACGTTACGAGGCACAAAGTGACACATACTAAAGAAAAAAAAGTCGCCTGTGAATCGTGCGACACGCTATTTGCGACTAAAGATTCTTTGCGCAAACATATAAAGAGAATACATACAAATGTACCAATAAAATAATATAAAATTACTTTCAGATTTCATTTATATGTCTAATTGTAATCAGCCTCTTTACACAAAGTTCATTTGCTCCAAAGCGATTCCATATGGAATTTCAAAAATGTATAGCGAGGTTGATTATGGCCTAATCACCCATAACATTGGGCTCCGAGCCCCTCGGTGGGGACGTATAGTGAGCTGATGATGATGATAGAACTGAAGTCACGTGATTGTCATCTGTCACTTCTATACATTGTGGAAATTAATTATGGCATGTCTTCGAAGCGAATGCACTTTGTGTAGCCCCGCAGTGACTAGACAATTAATTCTATTATCACTAACGCAAGTAGAAAAATGTGACAAAAAATATGTATAAAAATACTTGATATGTCGGAAGTTTGGCACTGCCATTTTTTTTATATCATAAGGTGGCAAACGAGCGAGAGCCACCTGAAATCGCTGAAATAGGGAAGTGACCGTTGGACGGAGTAGAGGATGCACAGAAAAAAATATTTTCCCTTCCCGTGCATCTACTCATCCGGGAAGTCCACTTCCACTTCCCATCCTTTCATCCTTTCCCTATAAGAAAAATGGTGGGAAGGGAAAGAGGACTAAATTTGGCCTCCGGGACGTCCATACATCTGAATTTTCAATTGGCAACATTGCTTATGTCACTTTGTCTAGCCCCACTGACATGACAATCACGTGACGTATCGAAAGTTATTGTCATTTAGACTTGAAGTCTGGTGGGAACTTTAGCGGTTCGACTACGTTTATTCTCTGGAGATTCAAAGGTAAGTCATCTGATTTTTGTCTACTCAGTTATTATACTACTTTTCGATACAGCTCTATCAGCCGTCATATCTAAATTCACTATCACACAATCCATCCATTCTTCAGTCTTCCTTTACCTTAGTAGTTTTAGACATTATTAGTTAAAATCTTTTGGCGCTAATGGCGCGCTTTCGTTACGAAGTCAAGTGTCAGAATGATTAGTGAGGGGACGTAACCGTTGACTTAAAAGTTGACATTTTAGTGAGGCTAGTGTTGCGTCAGTACACCGGCACAGTATCGGATTTTCTTCCTAACAGAACCCACCCTTCAATCATATAAAAGTAAGTGTGGTCACATTTTAAAATACATTTCTAATATACTACAGAAGTGACATTAAATTAAAAAGTATGGTATATTTATTTCTTTTTCTCAGTCTTTTTTTCTTTTGTCGTATCCTTCTTTTTGGTCTTGCGTTTCTCTTTCTTGTCTTCTCCTCTCTTCATGATTAATTCGTAAGGAATTGGCATCTGTCCTTGTCTATCTACTCCAGGGCCGGGCTGGAGTTGCATACGGTAGTCAGTACGGCGATGTATTGACTCCGCAGGACGGAACCTCACCGCTCCATTATGGAAATGCAGATCCCTAAATAAAATGGTAAGTAAAAAATTGGCAATATAGCATATTTTGTAAAAAAATATTAAAGTTTATTGAATAACTAGCTATAGCCCGCAACTTCGTCTGCGAAGAACTAAAAGAAAGTTCATAAGTATTCTTTCAGACTATTTTCTACATCTACGCCAAGTTTCAATAGGATACGTTCAGCCGTTCTGAAGATATCTTCAAACAAACATCCATCTAAACATTCGCATTTATAATATAGTAGAAGTAAGATTTCGTACTATTTTTGATGCATTGGAACTTGATATCTTACTAATATTATAAATGCAAATGTTTAGATGGATGTTTGTTAGAAGATATCTCCATAACGACTGTTAGGATTTCGCTGAAATTTGACACAGAAACATATTACAAGATGGCGGTAGTGAGCTGTCGTAATTAAGTTTGATTTTTGCCTTATATTCGCTTAGCGTTATTATTATTTAAATGTTATTTTTTACGTTCGACGTTTTGTTCTAAAGATGCATTTTTAGGTTAGTGATTAGATTTACCGTGGGCTACTGAGACTAAAATCTATTAAACATATCATCCCTGCCATTCTTGACATAACAAAATGTCTTAAACTAGGATTTTGGTCTAAAAAAAAACCCACGCTTAGAACATACCTGTGGCTTGGAAACTGAAATGGAGCAAAGACTCTTTTCTCATATCCCCTTTTGTATTCTAACCAACGACATTTCAGATATTGGTTCCTTTCCAACGAGTAATGTTTAGTTAAAACATAGTCGAATAAACCCTTTTCAAACGCAGGCACTGTTCTGTAGTTACTGCCGATAGCTTTGGCGATCTCTGTAGGTAGAATATTTAAATATTGGTATCCCTGTCATTTTCTTTGTCGAAAAATAAGTAAGATCTTCGTTACTAATATTATAAATGTGAATATTTAGATGGATTCTCGTTAAAGTATTGTATTCTCGTAAAAGTAAGTTTACAAGTGAGAATGTTTACAGTGCCATCTATTATTTTCTTAAATACTACTGGTTAAACTCATCATTTTATTTGTAAATGAGACAAAAGATGGCGCTGTATTAAAAATATATTATTTGTTCTTGTAAAAGCAACATTTTAATTAAAAACATTTAATTTAAATAAATGCTTAATTACGGAATCTAACATATTATAAATGCGAATGTTTGAATGGAAGTTTGTTTGTGATTGGATATCTCCTCTTTATAAGTAACTACATTTTTTAATTCCGCACGGACAGTAGGGACAGATAGTAAATATATATTTTAAACAAAGATTTTGGTTTCAGAAACCACTCGTTAAAGAACTTCTGTTGCTGGCCTTTGAGAAAAAGTAAGTTTTAAGTCTAAAACATACTGGTTTGGAAATACTCCAGAGAAGAGGAAAGACTATTCCAAAACGCCGCTGTTTGAGGTAGAGTTTCGTGAAAATGGCACTGTTAGGGAATATTAGATAGGCTGCATAAATAACAGAGTTAAATTATATTAAATTTCTTACCTTCAGTAACCGTCATATCGGGTTTAGTTCTCACAGCTTTTATACATTCCAATTCATTTTCGTCGTTCTGTTTTGAACTCATTGTGATTATGAATTTAAATATTTGTTATAAAAACACCAATTGAATTTAAAAAAATGACAGGTTAATCTGTCAAATGTCAAAACACTTTTTTTATCGTTTGTTATCGGTTACTTACGTTCAAAATATAGTTATAAAAATTGATAAAAAACACTCTCTTATTATTAAGTACTGTTTATTATTTCAATATAAATAAAACAACCTAAAAGTTTAATACTTTAATTATTAATCATATTATTTACAAAACTCTTACGACAAATTTTTTAAATAGTACGATAAACATATCTGACCCGGTGAGAGGCGCTACTATCGCGATTCTAACAAACTCAGACGTAAAAAATTACAAAAAAACATAACAAGACACCATGTTGTTATCTTCCCGCATATCATGTCTAGTTAGTTTTATGCCTCATTATATTTTTCCTGACAGCGAGACAGCGTCACCGGGCCAGATAAATTTATCGTAGTATTTTTTTTGTATCATAAGGTGGCAAACGAGCGAGCGGTCACCTGAAATCGCTGAAATAGCGAAGTGATCGTTGCCCATAGACATACGCAATTGCATATGCGTTGCCTACCTTTAATCGACGGAGGAGAGGATGCACAGAAAGCAAAATATTTTCTCTTTCCATGCATCCTCTCATCCGGAAAGTCCACTTCCACTTCCCATCCTTTCATGATAAGAAAAAAGGGTGGGAAGAAAAAGAGGACTAAATTAGTCCTCCGGGACGCACACTCATCAGCGTGTAGTTGGAATTGCTTCCACTTGAGGCGTGTCTTCTGTGTGGTCGTGGTATTTCACCGGGCGAGCCGGGACTTTTCGTGCGAAGATGTTAAAGCTCGCTCTACCATTGTTAAAAGTAAAAGTATAATTTCCAGTCTATCCATATTCAGGATGCTGACTCTTCATGTGACCTTTAAGGCTGCAGTTCTGTATAAAAGCTTGTCCACATATATGACAGCGATATCTCCTGTCATTGTTGTGAATACGCATATGATCCTTTAAAGTCTTCAAACGAGGATATGTCTTTTCGCAAACCTGTAGAAAATATAATTAAAAACTTAATAAGGAATCTATATGTTCTTCCAGACTATGTTCTACATCTATGACAAATTTCATCAAGATCCGTTGAGTCATTATAGAAATATCTTCTAACAAACATTCATCCATATATTAGTAAGATTTTATAAAAAAAAATCCCAGATTTTTATTTTATTTATATAGAAACGTGTTATGTTTGATTAAAACGTTTTTTAAAACAAGATAATTTTAAAAATCAGCGCCATCTTTTGTCCTATTTATATAATAAAAAAGTAAATTAAAACTCGTAGTACTAAGTGAACAATAGATGGCGCTACAACAAATTTTCCCCATCGAACATTTTCAAAACAGCGACATCCTTCGTAGTATTTAAAAAAAAACATATACAATGTTTCCGCAGTGAAAACTCAAAGAAACATTTATGCTACTAACCTTACACTTGAAGTTCCTCTCTCCAGTATGCGTCGGCATGTGATTATTGAGGGCGAATCGCGTGAAGAACTTGTGTCCGCAGAAATTACATTCATATCTAAAAATAAAGAAAAAACCTAATTTTATTGTTTTCCTTTCCACCTTTATCTTATAAGGTATTGAGACGGAGGATTGATGCAAAGGAAGGGAAAATATTATTTTTCTCTACATCCCTTCCTCCGTTGACTAAAGGTAAGCAACACATATGCATATGGAAATTCTTCGCTATTTCGGCGCATCCATGTGACCATGTTTTTTTCCATTTACCTATTCTTACAGTAAAGGAAAACTTTTTGCTGCACATAACCGAGAAGAAATGTCAAAGATATGTGTGAAGTGACGCATTGAACCAGAATTGACTATGACCTAGTCACTTAACTAAGGGAACATACCCATACTACGTGACCTATTTTGTTAGTTTTTTCGACCCCTCCCACCCCTCGGAGACCACTCGTAGTACATGCCAAGACACCCCCCTTTAGTTTTTACTCAGTAATTCATAATTATGATTTTAATCATTTCACAGGCAAAAATTAAAAAAAAAAAATAATTTGCTCATACTCCTCTTTATAGCATAAGACTGCAGGCATACGTAAATTACTAGTGAATTATATAATATGAAAAAAAACCTGAGCCATACCCCTTCTGTGACTGACCGTAGTATTTTAAGGACTACCCCCCCTTATAAGGGTCACGTAGTATGGGTATGTTCCCTTAGGGTAGGTTAGACCCTTAATGGGGACTTAGAGAGCACACAAATAATGAACAATTTAATATCTAAACTCACCTAAAATCTCTCAAATGATCTTTCCTCCGATGTGTTGTAAGTGAACGTCTAGCATCATACACTTTATCACATAAATTACACGGGAAACTCAACGGCTCTTCACCGTGCACTTCAACTAAATGTTTCAATTTCTGTTGATGTGACATCAACCTAACATCACATTTAGGACAAAAAACTCTAGCCCGTTTCTTATGTACTCTATCTATATGTAACTCTCTATTATGTTCAGCTTTGAAAACTTTGCCGCATGTATCACAAGGGAAATTACCAATTTCATGTCTTTGTTGGTGCATCGCCAACCTGCCTTTATCAACAAAACCTAACCCACACGTTTCACACACGAAATTATTATAATGTTCATTCATATGTTTATTTAAAGCGTGAAAATATGGAAACGTTTGCTCGCACAATGCACACTTTGATAAATCTTTTGTTAAAATGAACGGCAACACTGCATCCGTCTTCTCAAAGTAATAAATTTTCTTATGTACATTACTTATATGTAATTTAAAATCTTCCAATGTATTTATCTTTTCAGCGCATAATCTACAATCTATTCTTGTCAGATCTAATTTCAGCATGATATTTCTATGCTCGCATATTTTAAATTTCTTCGGATGATGAATTTCAGATGTATGTTGTCTTAGTTGTTTTGGATCTAGGAAATTCTCTCCGCAGTAATAACATAGCAGATTATTATGTCTACATCTGAACGGACATGCATATGAATATTCAACAATTGTTAGTATATTCGTCTCTGTCTTATAACTTGGGTCTCTTTCGCGCATTAATTGCTGTACTTTAGACATCGGTAGACCTGGAAAGAAATTTTAATATTACTATTTTTTTATATCATAAGATTGCAAACGAGCGAGCGGCCACTTGAAATCGCTGAAATAGCGAAGTGACCGTTGCCCATAGACATACGCAATTGTATATGCGTTGCCTTCCTTTAATCCACGGAGGAGAGGATGCACAGAAAGAAAATATCTTCCCTTTCCATGCATCCTCTCATCCGGAAAGTCCACTTCCACTTCCCATCCTTTCCTTATAAAAAAGGGTGTGAAGGGAAAGAGGACTAAATAAGGCCTCCGGGACGCACATAAACGCGGAATAGCTTCCACTTGACGCCTGTCTTCTGTGTGATCGTGGTATTTCACCGGTCGAGTCGGGTCAATTCGTGCGAAGATGTTAAAGCGGGCTCTACCACTGTTTAATATTGTAAATGCAAATGTTTGGATGGATGTTTAGAAGATATCTCTGGAATAGCTGCATGGATCTTAATGAAATTTGATATAGATATAGAACATAGTCTGGAAGAACACATAGGCTAACTAAGATCCAGAAATTGTATACTGTTCCCGTGGGAAATGTCTGATTAACATTCATACTCAATAACCTACAATTAACTTATTGAAATTAAACACAGATATAAAATATAGTCCCCAAAACACATAGTACAACTAACCATATTATTTTTAATATCTTATATATAAAATTCTCGTGTCACAATTTTCATTCCCATACTCCTCCGCAACGGCTTGACAGATTCTCATGAATTTGTGAGCATATTGAGTACGTCTGAGAATCGGCCAACATCTATTTTTAATCCCCCTAAATGTTAAGGGTGGTCCACCCCTAATTTTTTTTTTAGACAAACGCGGACGGAGTCTCGGGCGACAGCTAGTACACTTATAAAAATAATATACAAATATATTTTTCCATACATATGTACATATATCCTATATTGTTACGGTGAACGAAAGGAATGTTGCACATATCTGTGAATGTCAAAGATATGTGTGAAGTACACTGGACCAGCATTCACTATCACCTAGTCACCTAAGGGTAGGCTCCGAGACCCCCATTGAAGACTTAGTTATCTTTATATATATAATTCTTCTGTGCGTGTGTATGTCACTGAACTTCTCTTAAACAACTGGACCGATTTTGATGAAATTTTTTGTGTGTGTTCAAGGGGATCTGGGAATGGTTTAGATTCACAATTTTCATCAAATATTAACATCATATTAATTTATTCAAATAAAAGACGTGTAGACAGGACAACGTCTGTCGGGTTCGCTAGTAGTTACATAAAATATTAAGAAGATAAAAATATAAATACATACGTTGTCTCAACATCGTACTCACTGGCGGGCTATTCATTGTATCCAATTTAAATTTCTTTGCATTATCAATTTCCCGCTGATTTTTTGGTTTATTTACACAATTTGCTGCTTCACATTGCTTCCTCTTCCTTATCACAAGTGGTTTTTCATCATCAGATGATGAATCATAATTTTTTATTTGATTATCTGTAATTAATAGTTTTTTTTTACATTATTAGGTGGTTAGCGAGCCTCGCTAAATTTGCCATAGTTATAGAACATAGCCTGGAAGAACATGTTGGCTACTAATTAAGTGTTTTTAAGCGCATACGGAGTCGTGGGCGACATCTTATTAATATATATTGTTAGGAAGAAAATCCGACAGTGCCGGTGTATCGGCGCAACACTAGCCTTTTTAAAATATCAACGTTTATGTCCCCTCACTAATCTGACACTGGACTTTGTAACGAAAGCACGTCATTTTTGCCAAAGGATTCCAACTAATAAAGTCTAAAAGTATGTATTTCTTATTATTTTATTACTAGTCTAGCAATCTATTCTTGAATTCTCACTTACCCTCGGCCAGTGCATCACAAGGGGATATGGGTGAACAAGGTCCGGATTCCAGTATCTCCTGTTTCACAATTTGTATATCAACACTTGAATCTTCATTATGTTCTGAAATCAATAAATATTTTATAATCTATGGGAAGTGGAAGTGGACTTTTTGAACAAGAGGATGCTTGGAAAGGGCAAATATTTTCTTTGTGTGCATCCTCTCCTCCGTTGATTAAAGGTAGGCAACGCATATGCAATTGCATATGTCTATGGGCAGCGGTCGCTTCGCTATTTCAGCGATTTCAGGTGGCCGCTCGCTTGTTTGCCAACTTGGAGAGGAGAGGATGCACAGAAAGAAAATATTTTTCCTTCCCATGCATCCTGTCATCCGGAAGGTCCACTTCCACTTTCCATCCTTTCCCCATTAGAAGAAGGGTGGGAAGGGAAAGAGGACTAAATTAGGCCTCCGGGACGCACACTCATCAAACGAAACGCGGAATTGCTTCCACTTCACGCCTGTCTTCTGTGTGGTCGTGGTATTTCAACAAGCCGGGCCAATTCGTAAGAAGATGTTAAAGCGGGCTCTACCACTGCAAAATTATAAACATACTTGTAGTGTCATCAGACATCCGGACTTGTTGGAAGGCCTCTTCACAGCGTAGTACTTGCTGCCTGAAGGTGTGAGCCTCACGTAAACGCAGAACACATGTAGCACACACTAAACGGTCTGTCACCTTGCCTTCTAAATGCGATAGCTGGGGATGAAATGTATTTATTATCACTTATTTGTAATTCAAGTAACAAAGTAGATTTTCATTTGCACTATTCTGCATATAGAGTGTTGTTGGCTCAATGATTAAGCACCTGACTTGTAACCTACAGATTTTGATTCAACAACAGCTATGTACCAATGTTATTTGCATGTCTTATGTACATGTATCCGATATTCTTACCGTGAGGGAAAGAATCATCACATCGTGGTTGACTAAGGACTTTTCTACAAATTTAGGGTAGGTAAGACCCTCTCAGTCGTGACGTATACTAACAACGAATTATCTCCATCCATAATAGATAGCAATACGATATAAAGCTATTCCCAACTTACCAAAAGGCCAAAGCAATCCATCATAATGTCAGAATATACTTCTTTTGCCCCCATATGCTCATATTCCACATTCAAGACACGGCATTTCTTCATGGTACCACAACATCGACACAAGCCCGGGTCGTATATAGGACCCTTACCTTTTTTAACATTCATTTTTTTATTATATTATAATTCTATACATTATAAAATTGATTTCATACTATTACTTTAATAATCAAATAAACAATACTTAATAGGTACATCAACAAATCAATTAAAAAACAACATAGAGCATAGAGAAATTAGAAATTTCATTTTGACGTTAGGGATGTCCTGTGTATGTTGTTTTCGATTTTATAAATCGATTTTTTAAATATAAATCAAGCAAAACATTAAAAATATGAAATACAGTAATTTCTACAGAATTCGAAAGACCTTATAACACTGTATCATATCAAAATCAGCCTAAATTTGTCCACTGCTGGACGTAGGCCTCCCCCATCGATTGCCACAATGCCCGGTCCTGTGCCGCCCGCATCCAGTGCACTCCCGCAACCTAACACTGCATAACACAGCCATATTGAGGAAAAAAATGATTTGGCAATTAATTTTTAAATTACATGTCTTAGGAAAAATATACGGTGTTGCATTTTTGCGCGGTCTTTCGTCGTTGACAGTTGGTAACAGCTACGGTTGGTACCCGTGCACTGTTGCTGTTTCACTCGCCACCCAGAACCAGGCAGCATCGTTTGAGCTCATAGCATTGTTTCAGGGAAAAGAGACAGCAATACAAATGTCACGTAAAAAAATGTAAAAGAAACCCATCCATAACATTTAAAATTTTGATTTATTTCACTTTTTACTATTAATTTTATAATAATTACACATTAAAATAGGTGCGTTTATTTAAGGAATGTAACTTTTACATTAGTTCGACAATTTTTTTTACAAATATTCAATGTGAAACTTTTTTTCCTATAAAAGTACAAATCAAGTAAAGATAAATAAATAAAAAATGTAAAAAAATAATACTTACATTTAATATTAAAGAACTTGAGGTAGTTTTTTTATTAAATATTATTTTATATTTAGTTAGCTTAATTTTTTCTTATGAACAAGAAATATTAAAATGCTACAATAAATATAATTATTACAAATATAAAGTTCATAATCCATTATATACAATAATATTAAATAGACATTAATTTTTTTTTCTTAAATCAATAATTTAAAATATACAACACTCTTTTTATTTGGATTACTTTCGAATGACCATAGACAAACAAGACCATAAATATCATAGAAAATACAAATATAATTGCATTTTATCTCAAAGAGTTTACAATAAATATTATTTTCAAATTATTAAACTCGTTTAGAAAAAACTTGCCTCGCACCATTATTGTAAGAATTCGTATTTACGGTATTTAGATGAGGGTCTACCTTACGTACTTTTTTTTATATACGATAACGAGCGAGCGGTCACCTGAAATCGCTGAAATAGCAAAGTGACCGTTGCCCATAGAGAGGATGCACAGAAAGAAAGTATTTTCCCTTTCCATGCATCCTCTCATCCGGAAAGTCCACTTCCACTTCCCATCCTTTTCTTATAAGAAAAAGGGTGGGAAGGGAAAGAGGACTAAATTAGTCCCCCAGGACGCACACTCATCAGACTGTAGTTGGAATAGCTTCCACTTGAGGCATGTCTTCTGTGTAGTCGCGGTATTTCACCGGGCGAGCTGCGCCAATTCGTGCGAAGATGTTAAAGCTCGCTCTACCACTGTTCAAACATTAACAGACTAATTATTCATGATACTCTTCCATGGTTTGATGTTGTCTTTTAATATGATTTTTTAAATTAACATTCTGTGTAAAAGATGCACTGCATAAAGTACATTTATATTTTTTTTCAGTGCTATGAGATTGCATATGAACTTTAAGTCCACGTAACCTTGGATAACTTTTGCCACAATATTCACAACGAAAATTTCTTTCGCCACTATGCGACGCTATATGTTCTTTTAACCTTGAAGGCAGATAAAACCTTTTATCACATAAATCACATTGATGTTTAAATATTTTTAAATGAAACCTCCTATTATGTTCTCTTAAAGATTTCCTACTATCATAAGTTCTATCGCATTGTTCGCATTCAAATAACCTCTCAATACCATGAACTTCAATCATGTGACGATATCTTAAAGTATACGAGAATAAAACCTCATCGCATTTGGTGCAAGGATATGCTGGCTCTTTTTTATGTGTTCTAGCTATATGTAAATATCTGTTATGTTTCGATTTAAACAACTTTCCGCATTCTTTGCAAGGATAATTTTCGTCTGTTTTCTGATGTGTTTTTTGATGGAGTATAAGCATTCTCTCTTGGAAATAATGTGCACCGCATATATCACAAATGCAAGTACCGAAGTGTTCAGCCATATGTTTTTTTAAAGCGTGAAAAAATGTAAAAGATTCATCACACTCTGTGCAAATTAATCTGACAGGCGTGAGACGGAATTTCAAAAATTCATTATCTATGTTTGGATAAAGAACTTTATGGTGTATACTAGTGATGTGACGTTTCAAATCGTCTATATTATCGATTCTTTGTGTGCAAAGTCTACAATCGATTCTTAGAATATCGATTTGAAGTGTTTTTTTCTGTGGGAGATCTTTGTATATTTGTGGATCGTGTGTCATAGTGTGTTCCCTAAGTTTATTCGGATCTGTGAATTGTTTCCTACAGTAAATGCAGAAATAATCGCTAAAAGAAGTATCAAATGGACAAACATACGAATTCTCTACAATACATATAGTATTATGTCGAGCCATCATTTCATTGTCGTTGGTATTTTTAGTCTTTGCATTCCCTTTTTGTTCTGGGACATCTGAAACAAAGCTATACAATTTTACACAAAAGTTTCACTGTTTTTAGTTTCTCTTTAAGATCTAAATGAGACACAAATTTATATGAATTTGGTAAATTGTAAAATCTTTTATTTGTAGTAATCATCAGTACGTTTTACATATAAGAGTGTCGGTGGCTCAGGGGTTAACTTGTAATGTAGGTCCTGGATTCGAATCCTGCCATGTACCGAATTTCGATTTACATAGGTACATATATCTGACGTTCTTACGGTGAAGGATAACATCGTGATGCTGCACACATCTGAGAAGAAATTTCCAAGACATGTATGAAGTCAACTTACACTGGGCGAGTATTGACTACGGCTTAGTCAGTAACTTAGGGTAGGCTCAGAGCCACTCAGTGGGAACCTACAGTGATGATGATTTGTACGTTCAACAGCAAACAAATTTGACTTTAAAATTTGATGAAAATGATAAATTATAACCTTTTTACTTATTTAAATAACTGATTTATCTTTATAAGTAATTTCTTGTCTTCATTAAAGTATTTTTTATGAGTTTCAAAGCCTAATTTTTATCCAACTCACCTGCATCTTTTAACTTCTTGACTTTTTGCATTCGCGTCACCAGTTCGTGTTTCTCTTTATTAACAGTGACTTTAGTTTTCCGTTTACGTTTCAAAACTTTGTCCTTTTTCACCGAACTCTTTTTCTTCGAGTTCACATCTGGTTCGTTATTTGAGTCTGGAACTTTATTAATTATATAACCCAATTCTTTAAATATGTATGTTGTGTTAGGAAGAAAAATTCGGAAATGAGCCAGTGTATTGATTCAACACTAGCCTTACTAAAATGTCGACGTTTGTGTCCCCTCACTAATCATTCTGATACTTGACTGTAATGAAAGCACGTCATTCGCGCCAAAAAATTTTAACTTTTGTCTAAAACTTGGAAGAAAAATAAATAAGGTTTTTTCTGCACCTAATAACATGCACTTAAAAAAAAATCTACACATTCTAAAGTGAAACGCAAATATAATGATCACTATGTTTTAATAAGTATAAAGTTACAAAGAAAGTGAAAAATAAAATTATTAAAAACTTTTATGACGAAAAGAATTTTTAATGTGAGTCGACCCTTACATGTATAGTCCTTCTTTGACATTTGGCAAACCAGAGACAATATTTTTTATATCAAAAGGTAGCAAACGAGTGAGCGACCACCAGCGCAAAGTGACCCCTGCCCATAGACATACGCAATTGCATATGCGTTGCCTACCTTTAATCGACGGAAGAGGGGATGCACAGAAAGATTTTCCCTTCCCATGTATCCCCTCAACCGAAAAGTCCACTTCCACACCCCATCCCCCCCTCCACCCCCTTATAAGAAAAAGTGTGAGAAAGGAAAGAGGTCTAAATTAGACCTCCGTGATGCACACTCATCAGGCTTTAGTTGGAATTGCTTCCACTTCACGCCTGTCTTCTGTGTGGTCGTGGTATTTCACCGAGGGAGCCGGGCCAATTTGTGCAAAGATGTTAAAGCGGGCTCTACCACTATTAAAAGCAGTGTTACTGTAGAGTATACATGTATAATTTGATGATATTATATATACTTACTGAGTACAGCCTCATTGTTGTGATCTTCCTCGACAACTTCATTTTCAACAATACTCTCTATTTTAATATCTGCTTTAATTCCTTCTTTACTCTCTTCAACTAAAAATATATTACACAAAATCAAACACCTGATAAACTTATCCATTGTCTTTTTATATAACCTAGCTGTCGACCGCGACTCTGTCCGCGCTCTAAACTAGCACTAGCACCAAATAAAAACAAAGTAGCCTATGTCTTCTGCCAGACTATGTTATTATGTAAACATCCAACCATTTATTCAAACTTTTGTGAGACATTAAACTTATATAAAAACGGCTAAACACTCATGTATGGTCTATTGGCAGCACCAACTAGTTTCGAGCCCATCGGGGGCCCTTAACCAGGGTGCGTGGAACTGGTATTATTTCGCGAACAAGGCCTTTTGCTCACTGTGATAAAGACTGTGATTGAGTGAGCAATGGGCCGATAAGTTTAATCATCTATCCATCCAAATATTCCCATTTATATAGTAAGAAGTAAGATTATTTTTACTTAATAATGATAGTTAATAACATATTAAAGTTTTAAAGAATTCTGTATAAGCATGTACTAAAGAAATCTTACTGAAATTTGGCATAGATGTAGAACATAGTCTGGAAGAACCACTGCTATAATTTTTTTCTGCATGCATAGAATCACAGGCTTCAAGCTAGTAAGCCATATTGATCTATACTCACCATCATTATCTAAATGTATTTTAGCACTGAGCAGAAGCTCCTCACAGCGCAGTACTTGCTTCCGAAATGCACAGGCTTCTCTTAATCGGCTCACACATGTTGCACATATCAAACGTTCTTCAGGACCTCCTTCTAAATGTGATAACTGAAAATATATATTTTTTTCTATTTATGTATGTACATTTATCAAACATTCTTATAGTGAAGAAAAACATTGAGACGCTGCATATATCTGTGATGAAATTCAAAAATATATGTGCAGTCAACCCGCAGTGGGCCAGCATTGACTATGTACATAGTCACCTAACTTAGAACAGGCTCTGAGGTTCTCAGTAAGGACGTGTGGTGAGCTGATGATGATGATAATATATAATTGAATTTAACTTTGTAAGACACTCACCTAAAAGGGTTACTAAATTCTTCTAATACTTATGTACGACTATTTTACCCACGAAATATTTAACAAAAATATAATGAAAATATGTAACATTTGTTCGTGTATTAAAACTTTTTGTCATTATAATGTTATTATTTAATTAAGAAAGTAGAATTTCACTTACTAGAAGTCCGAAACAGTCCATAAACATATCTGAATATATTTCTTTTTGCCCCTGCCACTCATATTCAATATTAATTATTCGACATTTCTTTAAACAACCACAACATCGACACACACCTGGGTCTATTATCGGCCCTTTCCGGTTAATTGTGCTCATTTTAAGTTATTCTATTCATTAAATATTTATTTAACTTTTATTATATGATACGGTTATTCTGTATTTTGATTATAAATTTTAACATTTGACATATAACAAGACTGACAGATACAGTTCGATTGTTAGTGATGTGAAAATGTTATTAACCACAGAGAATGAGGCGATCAATCGAATTAACGTTTTACACTCACAACATCGATTTCTAACTCACGGTGAAAAAACAGTTAATATATAGGTAGTAGAAAGTTAACCCTTAAAGACTTTTACAGCTATAGAAGGACGTCGTATTATTAAATTGGATTCTACCTTTTCGAAGCCGTAATCACAGTTTACAAGACGAGTTGATATAAGCTTCGTGGGCCGTCTACTTCTACTATATACGAGATTAAAAACTGCTTTCTTTTGGCTGAGAAAAGGTTAAAAACTATTTGGGTTTATTAATAAAAACTTATCTTTAAAGCTTCTTTTATTAGTTGCAATATATTATGCAATTATATATTTAAAAATTCGATTTAAATAACAATTACTATAGTTACTAACTATTTACAAAACAATAATTTGCCGTTAGCATATTGTACTTCCTTTGCGGATAAAACTAATATATTTAACTCCATGAACATGTCTTCCTTTGAGAGTTTTCATAATTCTATTTCGTTATACCCTACTATATGTAGGATGTACCGATCTTTCTGGCTTCAGCGGGGTTAGAAAAAATGTAAGGAACTGACAATAACATAAGTCACGTAATTGTCGCGCCTCAGTTCTATAGATTTTTGAAGTTTATTATGGAATCGCTTCCGAGCGAATGCACTTTGTTTGTTTGCCCCTCTGATCTATTCCATAATTTACGTTATCAAAGTCGGTTTTAGTATTTCCGACGCCTTGAACAAAATTTTTGCGCCCCACGTTTTTGATGTCGGAAATCTTTCCAGACTTTATCTTAGAGGGCACTTAAGGCGTCTTGTTATATGCGCTAAAGATCAGAGTAATGATGTCATAACCACCGTTTCAGATAACGTTATCAGACTATAGCTTAATTGAAGCTGGATTCCACTTCATATCCTTGATGGTGACTCTTTAAATGAGTTTTGAGGCTTCCATTTTGTGTGAACGTTGAATTGCATAAATCACATTTATATCGCCTCTCATTATTATGTGAACGTAAATGTTCCTGCAACGATTGTAACCTTGGATAACTTTTGTCACAGAATTCACAACGGAAATTCCTTTCACCGGTGTGTGTTGCCATATGTTCTTTCAATCTTGAAGGCAAATAAAATCTTTGGTCACACAAATCGCACTGATGTCTGTAAACTTTTAGATGTATTCTTCTATTATGTTCCATTAATGTTTTCCTTCTGTTATAAACTTTATCACACAATTTGCACGGAAATGTTCTTTTATCACCGTGCACTTCGATTAGATGTCTATTTCTTAATGCATATGAAAGGAAACTTTCTTCACATTTATAACAATTAACGGTAGGTTTTTTTTCATGTACAGTAGCTACGTGTAAATATCTACTATATTTAGATTTGAGATTTTTCCCGCAAATCTCACAAGGGAAGCAAGCTTCGATTTTATTATGAGATTTGATATGTGTACGTAAAGATGTCTGTTCTAAAAAACAAGCACCGCATATGTCACAAATAAATGTACCAAAATGTTCGACCATATGTTTTTTTAATAAATCAAAATATGGAAAAGTATTTTTACATTCAGTACATGTTAAATTGTCTAACGTCAGTCTGAATTTTAAAAACTCGTTTGTGATTGGATGTAATTCTTTACCATGGACAATAGTGAGGTGCTGTTTCAATGTGTCAAGATTATCGATTTTTTCTTGACACAATCGACAATCGATTCTTGTGATATCGATTTTTGGTATTTTTCTATTATCCATCATGCTTTCAAACATTGTTTTAGGATCGTGTGACATTGTATGTTCACGTAATTCTACGGGATTCGTAAACTGATCTTTGCAATAATAACAGTAGTAATTGCTCACTTTGTTATGAAACGGACAGACATAAGAATTGTGAACTATAGTTACTGTATTAGCATAAGCCATCTGTTCATGATCAATGATAGATTTTTTCGCCTTTCTAGATTTTGTTTCCTGTATTTCTGAAAAAAAATCTTCAGTAAATTTTAATACATAAAATATTACTAAATAACAGCTATTTATATTACTAATAGTAAAATTAATTACACAAATGTATGATTGTGTTTAAAAATCTTACTTAATTTAGTCTAATCTTACTTAGTCTAGTTTTTCCCATTCAAAACATGGTATCGGAAAGCCCTGTGCGGTAACACTTCACATATCTTTGAATCTCGTCTCAGATATATACAGCATCACAGTTTTCCACCACCGTAAGAACATAGGATAAATGAACCTATGTATTAGAAAGAAAATCCGACAGTCTGCGGTGTGTCGCAACACTAGCCTTAATAAAATATCGACGTTTATGTCCCCTCACTAATCATTCTGACACATGACTTATGTAAAGAAAGCGCGCCATTCGCGCCAAAGGATTCTAACAAATAATGTCTAAAATAAAAAAACACATTGGTAAATGGCATTTGAACCCAAGACCTGCAGACAAGTGTTTAAGCCTAGGCCGCTGACACTTCTTACCCTGAGTAGTATGTCCTAGGTTGATAAATACATATTTTATCTAGTATAAGGCAGCATACCTGTTTCCAGTAAATCATCCATCTTAACCTTCCTTCTCCGCACTTTGTTAACTTCTCTCTTCATTGGATTAGAACTGACATGTTTCGTACGAACCGATCTCCGTCTTGGTATTTTTATGCTTGACTTCTTTATTTTGACGTCAATATCTAGATTTGGTTTTTCATCTGAAATTATTTACCTACGTATTATTGTATAGTACACACTAAAATCATTAATTGTGGGTTTCTGAGATCAAAACTCCGTTTAAAACATTCTGTCCACAAGGAGGCGATAACGGCCCCTTGTGGGCGCTGTAGGTCTCAAGTTGCGGGTTATAGTAAAAGTTTCCTTTACAATTCTCCTTTAATATACATATATACGTCACAATAATTAATTAATTTAATTTGAAGTTATAGTGGTTTTTAAATATGTGAAAATATGGGGGCGCTAAAAAAATTTTATTCTCAAAGTGGGCAGTAGACAAAATAAGTTTGGGCACCACTGGTTTATAACATATTGTTATATCTGTTTTATAGAGAGTTTTTGGTCTCAGAAATCCACAATAAGGGACATTTGTATTTTTATAGTTTAAAATTATTTCACCTTTGAAATGCTATATCATCCCTGAATAACATAACCTATCTTACTAATAATATAAATGCGAAAGTTTAGATGGATGGATGGATCAACAGATCTTGATGAAATTTGACATAGAAGTAGAACATTGTCGGGAAGAACACATAGACAAGGGTCACCAGAAAAATAAAATAAAAATTCCCCTCTGGGTATTAAAGAAAATAAAGGGCATTTTTTAAAAACTTAAAAATTTTACACCTTCTGGGGCAATTTTGTAACCGATGACCTACAAATATTGCTACATTTAAAAAAAAGCTATTATGTTATCATCAATAACCCTTTATCAATATGAAATAAAAAAAAACAATACAACTAACAAAGATTTTAAAGAAGATTAAAATTGCCCCAGAAGGTGAGGGGAATCCCCCAGAGGGGAATTTTTATTTTATTTTTCTGGTGACCCTTGTGACCACCCCTATTATCCCCCTCCCTATGTACGCAACCTTTTGGGACACCCTGTATACATACCTTGGTTCTCAATTACATCATCGAGATTTTCCATTTGTGTGTCTTCAGTATCCTCTATTGGTTCCACTTTCAGTTCCACCATGAATTGTGGTAGATTATCTAGAATATAAATAAATAAATTGATTATTTTATATTTTTAACAGTGGTAGAGCCCGCTTTAACATCTTCGCACAAATTGTCCCGGCTCGCCCGGTGAAATACCACGACCACACAGAAGACAGGCGTCAAGTGGAAGCAATTCCAACTACAGTTTGATGAGTGTGCGTCGCGGAGGCCAAAATTAGTCCTCTTTCCCTTCCCACCTTTTTTCTTATAAGGAAAGGATGGAAAGTGGAAGTGGACGTTCCGGATGAGAGGATGCATGGAAAGGGAAAATATTTTCGTTCTGTGCAACCTCTCCTCCGTCGATTAAAGGTAGGCAACGCATATGCAATTGCGTATATCTATGGGCAACGGTCACTTCGCTATTTCAGCGATTTCAGGTGGCCGCTCGCTTGTTTGCCACCTTATGATATAAAAAAATATATATATCAGATATAGTTAATGTTACTAATATTATAAATGTGAATGTTTAGATGAATGGACAGATGGATGTTAGAGGGTTGCATGAAGCCCGCTGAAATTTGGCAAAGATGTATGTAATCTGGAACAACATATAGATAATTGAGTTAAAATTAACTCAAACAGCTGATTAACTAATAAGCTTAACAAGGACAGTTACTCCATAGTTGAATGGTAGATTCAACATTCAACTACATGACTGGATATCTATGTGTACTAAACTCAGTGAGCTGAGGGCCGCGTCCGTGAAATAATCCCAGTCCCGCTCACACTGATGAAGGGCCCCCGATGGGCTTGAAACTAGTCAGTGCCGTCACTGGATGAATATACGTGTGTTTAACCATTTTTTTATAAATTTACCTAAGTGTACTATTTTTTTTATAAAAGAAGGGAGCTAAGGAGCAGTGGGAACACCGAGATGTTCACCAACGCCCATGGACATCAGCTATACTAGAGGCACCGCAGATGTGTTGCCTTTGAGATGATATGCTCGGTATTGCTAATATGATATCATTACCATCTCTGTTTCCCTCGAGTTTAGCATTCATGAAGACCTCTTCTGACTGTAATACTTGCTGTCTGAAGGCATATGCTTCTCGTAACCTGCATACACAAGTTGCGCAGATACAAGTGTCTTTGTTATCACCGTCTAGATGTGATAGCTGTGAAGTATAAATTATACAAATACAGTAAATTAACAAACATTCCTATTTCTACATTAATGTTATAAAGATAGATTCAATTGTTAACAATGAAAAGGCAACAAAACTACTAAACTAATTTGAAAAATACTTGAACTGATTTTTAGGGACTTTTGTTCTTTTGAACATATCAGTCCCATAACAATCAACTTAGGAGCTAATTAAAATTATAAATATACAAACAAGCGATATAAAAATAAAAAAGCAATGATAATAACAATAGTAAGAAATAACAAACAAAAATATTTACACTTAATATCTACAAAGCCTTTAGCCCCATATTTCGGACGCCGTCACTTTCACTGTTGTGAAGCTACACTATCCTTAAGTAACATGGGCTATATTTATACGATATTTTTAGTTCTAATATATTACTATTATTTTAAGATATAATTACACTTTTTCTTTAAATTTTCGCTAACTGATAGATGGAAAAAAGAGTAATACTGTGGTTCAATTACGTGGGAATAAGACTATTTATGAAATAGGGATAGACTAGGGAATATTTATGAACGTATAATAAAAAAGCTTACAAGTAATCCAAAGCAATCCATAATCATATCAGAGTAAACCTCCTTCTTTCCCATCCACTCGTATTCTGTCGATAAGAGACGGCATTTTTTTATTGAATGACAACATCGACATAATGCTGGATCTATAATCGGTCCTTTTTTATTCTTTGTATTTATCGTTACTGCCATTTTAATTTGATTTATAACAATCAATTCAATTTACATTACATTCAATTATAAATAAAAACATAACATAGTAAAAATGACGTTTCCGCAACACAATCATAGACAAGTTGTGAAAACTAAGCACAGACTAAATCAATGACATAAATAGGGATGCACGTCATGTTGATGAAAATGATAATCGATTTACTATCGATTTTCGAATTTGAACTGACTTTTCTGTATGCAATGAGTCAATTATATTCTGTTATAGCAATAAGAACAGCAACTTATTGAATAATTTTTATTTTTTAACGGTTACACCAAATATCTTACTCTAATTACAACTTTATATGACAGTATAAGAACACGATCATTTCGTTATCCGTGACTTTTAATGTTTCCTCCTTATGTGAACTCTTAGACTTCCCGGTTCAGTGTATGCTTTATTACAGATGTGACAAACATGGGGTCTTATATTAAGATGTATCCTAACATGTAATTGTAGGGCTGTTTCAGTTTTAAATCCCTTATCACAAATATTACAAATATGTGGTTTGTTTTTATCATGTATTTTAACATGAGTACTTCGGGCTACCTCAGTTTTAAATGCTTTACCACAGATGTTGCATATATAATCTCTAGTCGTAGAATGCGAGACAAGATGATTTTTCAATAATAATTTGGATCCAAAACATTTGCTACATTCTTCACATCGAAATCTCTTTTCTCCCATATGTTGATAACGTTGGTGGGTTATCACTTCGTAAGGAAATGCGAATTTCTTTCCGCATACATTACAAGTCGGAGCGGCTATACCATGTTTCGATTCTAAATGATGAGCTTTCGTATATTTCGTTATTTTCTCATCGCACAAATGACAAGAAAGACGTTCTTTACGTAATTTAAGATGTATTTGTCTGTAATGTTTCGTAAACGCTCCTTTGGTCGCATAGTTCTTCTTGCAGACGTTACAACTGTGAACGAATGTACCGTTTTCGTCTCTTATGGACGTGAAGTTTATCAACGCTAATATTTCATCATCTAAAATAGAAAATTGTCTTGATTTAAACCTTTGTTGTATAAAGCAATACATGACAAAACAATTAAATAAACTTGTATTAGATAAACGCATGTACGCCAAACTCTATACATGGCGGCCATTACGATTTTTGACTTAACGTGAGTTTCCGAGACCACAATCTCCGTTTAAAACATATTGTTGTCTCTGAGTTGACAAGGTTAATGACAGGGACGAGTATATGTTGTATACAGATATTTTGGTGTGAGACATCAACGGTTAGTTATTTTCTTTAAAATGTGAGTTAAAATGGATTAATACTGTATTATAAAGGTTGCTAAATATATTATGGTTTGTATGAAAAAAAGGGATTACCAGAATTGTGTAATTTTCGAATATTACCTAAACTATAGTTTGTCTATGGTTAAAGGGATCGATTGGAATCCGGTGTACAAGCCGCGCAAATAGAATTTCGAAGTATTAACGTTGTACTTAGAGTTGAAATCATTATACAGAGATAAAGGTTTGATATTAATTTTGAATGGAAAAAGAAATAAATTGCCTGTTCATTTCATAATTATTTTTTATTTACCAATAAACTTTAACTAACAATACATAATACGAAATAAAATTTGTGATGAACATTAAAAAACAAATTGTCCCTTTTTGTTTTTTTTAAACGTTAATTCCCTATTGAAAGAAACTCCTTACAATAAAGTTCTAAGTAACATTGAGAGAACTTGTTACGTTTAAGTAAGAAGTAAAAGCGTTTGAAATTGTCCAAGTAGGTAAAAATTCTTCAAATTATATATTTATTTAAGGAGTTTCTCTTAACAAAGAAATATTGCAATTACACCAAGAGATACAGGGTTATATTTTTTTATAGCATAAATATAAATAAACAAAATCATCCAATTAAATTAAACATCAGGCACAAATCGGTATTTCATCTATTTTACATCGATTTAAAATGTCACATCACTAAAAGTTGACACTTGGATGATATTTCGTCATATGATAATTAAGACTCGCTTTTTGAACGAACGCCTGACCACATTCCTTGCAGATATTCCTTCTATCACCTGTATGTATTCTTTCGTGTAAATTTAAATTAGTTTTTCTCAAAAATGATTTTCTGCAAAACCGACAATGATAATCTTTGACAGTTTTATGTTTGTATTTATGTTTGTACATACCTTCAAAACTAAATGATTCGTAATCACAAAATTCACACTTATATTTCTCACCTAACATATGAAAGTTTTTTATATGTTTTCTTAATTGTACCTGAGTGTTAAAAGCTCCTTTACATGCTTTACATTTAAATCTATCATCGATGTTATGTACTTCGAGTTTATGTACTGTAAATGGTGCTAGAGTCATAAATTGTGTATTACATAGCTGGCAACTGTATTTTGGTATTCTATAATGATTTGTTTTAACGTGAGTACGTAGAGAACTTAATTTATAACGTTTATTACAGTGGCCGCAGATGTAAGAGTCGCCATCTTTCTTATAATCTTGAGTTCGCAGTCGGAATTTTGGCGCGCTTCTGCCGTCTGGAGACAGAAAAATATTTTTTGAGTCTATGGAACTTTTTCTCTATATATGTATAGTCGCTCCTTATTGTCTATTGTTGGGAAGTTTTAAATCTTTGCGTTTCTTGTCTTCGTTTTTTCTATGTATATTAATTGCTTATTTTTACATGTTTTGTCTCTTCAGTAAAGTATTTCAATATTTATTTATGATGCAAATAACGTATTAAACAAACAGAACAAATCTTACTAATATTATAAAAGCAAAAGTTAAGATGAACGAATAGATGTTTGGTGGAAGATATCCTCGAAACGACTCCACGGATCTTAATGACATTAGGCACATACGTATAACATACTAATATAATACTTATTAAGTTTTTATAACTCCGCGCGGACGGAGTGGCGGGCGACAGCTAGTGTAATATAGTTTGCAAATTTAAAACCCTCTAGCACCTAAATTAAGCGACTTTGGATAGAGGTAAGTTGGGCAAAATCATCATATTTTTCAACCAAGGAATCTGTGGTACTCCGTTCATCAGGTCTTTCCCGAACAACCTATATAAGTTTCACTAAATAAAGATGGATTGCAATTACACCGAGAGAAACAGAGTAACATTTATTCAATAACATAAATATTAATACCACCATCGGATTATATTAAAATCAAGCATGAATCGCTATTTCATCGATTTTATATCGATTCAAAGTGTCACATCACTAAAAGTTGACATTTGGATGATATTTCGTCATATGGTAATTAAGACTTGCTTTTTGAACGAACGCCTGACCACACACCTGTATGTATTTTTTCGTGTGTACGTAAATTGCTTTTTCTTAAGAATGGTTTTTTTACAAAATCGACATTGATGATCTTTGACTTTTTTATGTTTTAATTTATGTTTATAAATACCATCTGTACCGAATGATTTGTAATCACAAAATTCACATTTAACTTTCTCATCTAACATATGAAATTTTATCAAATGTCTTCGTAATTGCACATTAGTATTAAAAACGGCTTTACATGCTTTGCATTTCGATCTATCATCGATGTTATGTGCATCTAGTTTATGTGTCATAAATGGTACCAATGTCATAAATTGTTTATAACATATTTGGCAAGTATGTTTTGGTATATTATAATGTTTTAATTTAATATGTTTACGTAGGGGATCAATTTTATAACGTTTATTGTTATTACAGTGCCCGCAGATGTAAGAGTCGCCATCTTTCTTATAATCTTGAGATCGCAGTCGGAATTTTGACATCCTTCCGTTGTCTGGAGATAGGAAAATATTTGTGAGCCTATGGATATGTATATGTTTCTCTTGTATTGTATTCTAGCCTTAGTTATATAAATGTGAAAGTAACTGTGTGCCTGAGATAAGTATAGGCTATTTTTTAACGATAAAAAAATGGTAACGGGTTGAAAGTGGGAATGAAAATTTGTATGGAAATATCAACATTTTTACACTTTAAAGTTTGAAACTTATAAATTAGGTTGATAATTTAAAACTTAACATTCAAAGTTTATAAAAGTTCCTCAAGGGTGCAAAATAACAATAAGGAGAAAAGGGTGAAAGTTTGTATAATAACATGGAAGGTTTATGTGAATGTTTTGTACATTTAATATGTAAAAATACTACCCAAAGACAGAATTTCACGCGGACGAAGTCGCGGACACAGCTAGTATGTCTATATATTGGTTATAAGATATTTTATTTTATCTCTTAAGTATGAATTATGAAATAAAATTTGCTATATGTACACCAATTCCCAATCAAACCACCTAACCATAGACAAAGCCAGGGCCTTTATCATATCCAGCGCCCTGGTCGAGTTTATACACCATTTTGGTGTCGGAGAAAACTTTCCAAAGACTAGGGTATGTTATACAGTAATTATGTATTTTTATATTATATACCCACGCGGACGAAGTCGCGAGCGACAGCTAGTAACTAAAAAAAGTCAAACATTGTAATGGCTGCCATGTCATTTGACATGCTTACAATGAATTTATCTTTTCAATCGAAACGAATATTAAGAAAATGTTGACTAACCTAGTTTTCTACATGAATTAAATATTGCTTATCATCTAAAATAGAAATTAATCTTAATCTCACTAATCCAGCGCTACAAAAACCGAAGAGTGCCGGATTATTGGAATGTTCGGATTACTGGATTTTAGTTAAAAAGTCATAGGTAATGTTTATTTTATTGTCATTTAAATCTAGTGTCTTGTGTTTGCGTTTATTTGATATTTTAAACTATATACTATTTTCAATTGAAAAAATTCGAGCCCCTCGGTGAGGATCTATAGTGAGCTGATGATGACTAAAAAAAATAATTGTGAGGTTAGACTAGTATCCGATGATGTAGTGACCGAAGCGCACAGATATAGAGGGTCGAAGGAGGCTTCCGCGGAGGATGCCGGATTATTGGAACGTTTGGATTATATTGTAAGTCATAGGTAATATATATTTTATTATGCCAAATCTAGTGTCTTATATTAACATTTATTTAAAAATTTTAGCTATAAACTATTCCTACTTAAAAAAGTAAATTTTGAGATTAGACTGGTAGTTGACGGAGGGTGCCGGATTATTGGACGTACCGATTTATCGAAGTGGTGGATTAGTGAGATTAAACTTTAGTCTGTAGTAATATAAAAACATACCATTATCTTCAGAAGTGTCTTGTACTTTCTTAATTTTCTTTTTATTTGCCTTTTTCAATTT